GGTTTTAATTGTGCTTAAAAGGTAAAACAGAGTGGAGAAGAATGCCTTTGAAAAACATGTCCTGCTGAATCTGAGTCTAGGAGAAAACTGCATTCACATTTACAGCAAACACAAGCAGTCAAGCCCACAAATGTTGGAGATGCTGTAGTAGGCATAGTACCCATCTACCCATCAGCTACCTACTACGCACACCAATCAGATTTTTACCTACCTAGCCCCTCTAATATGTATACCAGTCACCTAGTATGATCATGTCTCTAGCGTCTGTCCCTCTGTCCATCATCTTTCGATCTATCATCCATCTGCCATCTATCTACAGTCATCTATCTAATCTATAGCTGCCTAACTGCTAACACTTCTATCTGTCTAAATTCCCTAGGGCTGCCATATCACAGACATTAGTAAAAAACAGCAAGTTATTTCCTCTCAGTGCTGGAATCTAGAAGCCAAGTATTGACAGTCGGTCTCTCCTGAGAGACATGAGGGAAGGATTTGCTCCAGGCCCATTTATGGCTTCGAGATGCCTGTTTCCTTCCCATGTGTCCACATTGTCTCCCCCTCTGTACCTATCTGTGTCCCAGTTTCTCTTTTACAAGAACACCGCTCACATATTCGATTAGATCCCAGCCTGACAACCTCATTTGAATGTAATTACTTCTGTAAAAATTGTACCTTTAGATAAAGTCAGATCTTAACCTGCTGAGGTTATGGCATCAGCACACGGACTGCCAGTGAACACACGTTTCAGCCAATGCAGTCTATCATCTATCTATCTGTGTGCAAAAATAATAACCATTCAGCGTTTACATCAACATTCACCTTGCGTTTTTCATCACTGTTATTATTTAAAAAGATGAGCATGTGAAAATAGTAACAATGGGCTCAATGTTTAGCTGGTTTTACTGTTGTTTTTAAATTCTTTGGAGATAGAACTCTGCGTTTTTTTGTTTTGTTTTGTTTTTTGCCTGTACCCAGTGGCTCCCTCTCACCATACACTCTTAACACAGCACTACAGAACCCCTGAGCGTAATCCTCCATGGGACAGAGATTAGTGCAGAGTAAGAGTAAGGAATGGATCTGAGATCAAACAGCTCATGGATGAGCCGATTATCAGTGTGCTTATATCATTGCTGACTCTCCTGGTTCTAAACTCTAGGCCTCCAGCTCTGACACTTTAGGGGACAGGTCATGTATGGTTCTGCTCCTATAGTGTTGTAGATGTAGAAAACTTGCCAAGATTATTTTTGGCCTTCTAGGCTGAGTACATCATAGACAAGTCTCTTATCCCTCAGCACAGGGAGGGCGTGGGAAAACCTGTTTACATGCTTGATTGCACTGGGTCAGGCCACATTTGATATCTGTCCTTGGACTCTGAAACCCATCTGGCAGTTTGTCATTTCCGCAAGTCTCAATCCCTACGACTTGTCCAGGAGGAGAACACCTGGCTCCTCTTCTGCAGAGATCCACCGTCACGTAGGTCTTCTTCACTGTGCTTTTTTCTGTTTCATCCTCAAAGAATTAAATAATTTTATAGTCTTAAGTGGGATAAAACCTTGGCTTCCATATGACTGAGCTATACTCTTCTTCACACAGAGTCTCCTCACAAATTTATACTTTTCAGACTCAAAAATAACAACTAACTTTATATTTCTAAGTATTGCCTTATCTCTTTGCAGGAGAAGGAAAGAAACAATTCAAGCTAAAATCTCAAAGGATTATACTGTCTTCAGATTGGTTCTCGATCACTCTTTAAATATGCATTAAATCTAGATTCAGTACTACTTTTGGAGTCCTTATTTCTCTGTGTAACCTATGTGCCAAATCATGCAACTGCAAATTTCAATTATTTTAGTTGAATCATGTTAATAATGAAGTCTACACTGTCATATTGCATGGTGGTTCTTAGCAGAAACACAACCCTAAACAACAGTTTAGATTATGTCCAGAATTTTTCTAAAGGAAAAGGATTATTAGGATCCATCCTTGACCATGTATGTGTTGGATAATGTTATACCATAATAATTTATTTTTTTTCTTCCTCATATTTCCTTTCTGGGATCCTCACTCTCCAATGTAGTTAGCTATGTACTTCACCAAGTTTATAGCAAAATCAAGGGAAAAAATAGGCTAGAAGCGTTTCCTCTTGGATGTATTTTGGTTTTGAAAGTGTCTATGAAATTTCATAAATTTTATAAAATGGAGAAAAAGAGGGGTTGTGGAGGCGACATCAAAAAGTGATGTCTTAGGGGAAGCAGTAATTTTGTCCCTATACCAGTGTAGTGGACAGCTGTTAGGCAGGTCAGCAGGTTAAATTTTTGGTCATAACTATTGGAAATAGTGGCAGAGATCATATTAACATGGGGGGCCATTGGTATATTTCAAAGTTCCCCACACAATTCTAATGGCAGCCAAGTTTGTAATCATTGATTACAAATGATTCACGAACAAATCTTTCAGAAGATGGCCTAGTATGACCAAGAAATGACAGGCTTAAGAAGCCTAAAAAGATAAAGGTAACAGCACAGTGAACTATTGAACAATTTCGCAGACACTGTCCTGGACTGATGATCTTGGATCAATCACCGAAACTTACTACCTCAAATACTGCTAAGTCCAACATAAGATCCCAAGAACTGGGTAATATGTGAGAAAGTACCCACAAGTTGAACTTTGGTTAAATTGTAGAAAAATAAAGACATATTTCTTGTATGCCTAGGTGTGTTGTATAAGATTCACCTTTCTCATAAATCTTGAAATTCACCGAAAATTACTGAACTTTCTACTGGCGCAGTAGAGAAAATATTGCAGCCAAATAGGGGATGTAGAGACATAACTTTTCAACACTACACTCTGATTAGTGAAAGAGCAAGAACCAGAATTGTTAGTTCTACATGTTTGTTTGTTTGTTTGTTTGTTTGTTGGTACTGGGTATTGAACTCGGGTCCTTGCTCTTGCAAGGCAGGCCACCAAACCACTGAGCTAAATCCCCGGCCCAGTTCTACATTTTTGGTACACAATAGTAGCTAATGTTATGTCATTTTTCTACCCACTGTTTCACATTTGTACTCTCTGATCCTCTGACCAGCATAATCACATACCTCATTTAATATAAGAAGCCCATCCTTGTAAAACTAATTACATCTAAGTGAGTAAAAAGGGAAGACAAATGCTTCCATGATAATCTTTAAGCATATATATTGCTTGTTCTCTTGTCTTATTTATTTGACTGTATAAGATAAATTAGTTCCTATCTGATGCAAGAAATATTAACTGGGAAAATTAATATTAGGAAAACTCCACTTAAATCACTGTTTTTCTTGTTTTTATTGCTATGGTGTGTACCTTTATGTGAGTCTTATCATTTAAATACTACTAGTGGTTTTAATCCAGTGTTATATTAATTTCTAAACATTTTGAATATCTGAAGACTTGCTGGTGGTTTGTAGAATGGAGTAAACGTTTGACATCAAAATATCACCATGAGGGCTGGGGATTTAGCTCAGTGGTTAGAGCCCCTGACTCGCAAGCGCAAGGACCCGAGTTCAATCCCCAGCACCAAAACAGCAACAACAACAAAACCAAAAAAACAAAAAAACAAAGGCATCACCATGAATTATGGATAATTTAAAGTCAGAGTTAGCAAGTGATCTTTCTAGGACAGAAATTCATTCTAAACGGAAATGTCAGCAATCATTATATTATGCAACTTTTATTATTTTACTTCAAGGATGAACATACAATAAATACTTGAACAAATTTATTTTTGCTATTATATACTGTAAATTACATATATCATAAGATAAAATAATATGCATGAGCTGAAACTGAATATATAAGCATTGATTCACAAAATATTCAGGTTCTGCACAGGCCGCCTATAGGAGAAATCTCACCTCACAAACACTCTCCACCCTTTCCCACCCAACTGTCCCCACTTTGAACTTGCACACTGGTATATACACATGGGAAGTGAAGAATTGAGAAAATAATACATATAATTAAAGCAACATAAAATATTTTCACCATGACCATTTGTTTATTAGAGAATAAAAAAGAGGTATTTACTTAAGCCTGCCTAATTGCCAGAAGGATCATCTTTATTCTTTTTAATTAGCATGCTTAGACCTGTAGAGTGACTAAAGAATAAAACAAGGAACAGAAACCACTCTCTTCGACACCCAAATCTAAACTCTCTGATCATGATGTGTATCCTTTTTGATGAGAATTTGTGAATAGCTTTGTACTATCAAGATAGATACTTCTGTTTGCTCAGAGATAGAAACCATAAACTATTATGATGTTATCATACTCTTTTGCATTTACAAATTATTTTCTTTTGAATATGTAATTCTAGGCAAGTTTAACTGTTACACTGGGATTTAGAAACCATCTTCATGCATGATCTTAGAGAAATCAAAGCTTCTTTATCTTTTAAAATGTGGAAGTTCTAGTGTATCTCCTAAAGGAATTAAAAAAGAAAAACATCTTTCATTGAACAAGAATTTCCACATTTCTCCATTTGGATAAATTCAACCCCAAATCATTATTGGATGTATAGAATGTTCCAGGATGATTCTGCATGATTATCACCATTTAACTGTTATTAAGTACATGAGAAATAATTTGGTGGAAAAATAATAGGTTATGTTTTTATTAGTATGAATTATCAATTGCAATTTTATGTCTTGCCAGAAAATAATTAATAGAAGGGAATAGTCCATAGTTATGTACTTTTTAATGATGAAGAATATTCTTGGTTTTGGACCACATCAATTGCAATGGGTGTTGAGTCCAATAAATAGAAAATGCATTTATACACAAAACACCAGAATAGCCACGCACATCATTTACATTTCCACCCCAGGTGACAAGTTACAATTTTTGTCTCATTTTAAATCTTGCTATGCAGCAAAGTTCTCCTGCCTGAAATACTTACAGTTTCCGGCAGGACTTTTAAAAAATGCACGGACCACAATCCATGGTCAGTGTGAGAGCAGGTGTTAGACGTAGCTGGTGGAGGTCTTTCTGAGCACTGTCACCTTCCTTTGCTTCTGTTTGTATGGCGCACAGTGGGTGGGGGCTGGGTATCTGAGCCATTGCTTCTTCCGGTTGCAATAGCAGAATCCACAGAGCAGACCCCCTCCGATGAAGAGGACAGCAGTGCTCGCCCAGCCCAGGAAAAGGGCTGCTCCCAGCTCTCGTTTCTGACCGATGGGCACCTCTGGGTTGTAGAATTCCCTGATGATGATATTGGCTGTCCAGCACACTGGAATCAGAACAAAGATGCCGGTCAGGATGAAGAGAACTCCGGAAGTTCCCAGAAGGTACGCTTTCACCCTGTCGTCAGAACCTGTGCACTGGACCTGCTTCATGCCACAGATGCCAATGATGAGAGCAATGAAGGAGAGAGCAACGGCTACACACATGAGGGCTCGCGCTGTTTCCACGACAGGTGGAAGGGCCAACAAGGAGGTGTAGAACTTGCACTGCAGCCTGACCTTGGCTTGGCGGACACAGTTCATCCAGAGCCCTTCCCAGAGTCTCTCAAAGATGATGATGTTGCTGCCAATAAACGCTGAAACTCTCCATTGAGGCAGAAGGGTTGTGGCAAGAGTCCTGACCATGCCAAGGAACCCAAGAACCAGCCCAGCAATTTGCAGGGGATAAAATGCCATTGTCTCTCCTTTGAAAGGTAATCCAACTTGGAGTGGTAGAAGATGCTTCAGATGGGGAATGTGGAGGGTTTTCGGAGTCTAGAGCAGTCTCTGATGATATTCTACACGGCTGCTGCCCGTAATATTTTAGACCAAATCAGAAGCAGAGACTGCATTTGGCCTAACTAGAAGTACCTGCTGTGAATGCATGCTGTCTTGGTATACACATCGTCATTTCTGTGTGGATTATTCACTAGTCATATATAATTGTTGCCCAGCCAATAAGAAAGCAGCCAGAGGTGTGTCAAGGGCACTGTATTCAAAGTATTTCTCGTATTATTATTGTCTTAGCAACACTGTAATTAACTGTCAAAGCTTCCATTGTGAATTGCTAATTACAGAGCTGAAAACTTCCTGTCTAAAACTCATGCTGATATGGAAGTATAAATATATGTGGTAAGCCACAACTAAAAGTCATGCCACAAAGCCTCCAGTACTTTAGACAGCAATTGAGAAAACACTTTGAACTTAATACTATTACTTTCTTCTAATGTGAACCACTTTTTCTTAATATGGATAATCAACTCCAGCTTTAATAAAGACTTCAAGATAGAGAAAAATATTTGGGCATTAAATTCAAGACTTCTACAAAAGCTATCGATACTTAGGAGGAGTCTTAAATAGAAATTCAAATTTCACAGTTCATTCTTCAGCCCCATTAAGAAACAACACAGAAAAGCACTCCTCATAACTGAAACGGATTTACTTGCAATTATTCTACAAATGGTTAAGTAACATCTCTCCCTCTTTTGAAACATAGCATGTAAACTTTCATTAGATGTTTCTTCATGACAGCTTGGAATACGTCACATTTGTGGAAACCAAAGGTCCATTTCATTTTATAGAACAACATAAAGAGGTCTTTTGAATATGGCTGTGAAATTACTTAAAATTCACACAGGTGGAAAACCTTTTAGAGCTGGAAGATGTCTTCAAGAACGCCACACTTATATTTAACTTGCCACAGTAGAATGTGGAGACTTGAGAGTACTGGCTAAGAAAATTAGAGTGGGAAGTGGCCCATAGCGCACAGACACCTCACTCCTAACCCTTCTCTTTAATCTGATTCAAAACTAGGAGGGAGAGGAGCTTTTTGCAAAGCTTTTCATACTAACGTGTGAAATTCAACACTACTCTTCCATATGGTTTTAGATAGTTTTCAAAGCAAGAAAATTTTAATTGAGAACATTTCAAAATTCAACAGTGAAGTTGACATACTTTACGTCAACACTTTCCCGACCATGACCATGAATGAAGACTTCATGCGTAAAGCATAGACCTTTTACTTTCTCTTCCATATCCCCAGAGAATTCACTGTAAGGATAAAAATTATGCAGAAGCCAGAGTGCCCAGAATTCTTTATCTGGAAGATATTGTAGTCAGCAAAAAGTTCTCTATTTCATTAGAGCCCAACCCAAAGAATTGATAGATGGCCCAATGGCATTCAAATTTAAAGAGCACATTGAGTGAATTGAGAAATATAACAACCCTTGAGTTTTCCAGATAGTCTAAGGTCTTCCTCTCTAAGGGATGTGAATCATGGAGGAAATATATGCCTTTTGCATACCTGATAGTTTCCCAACACCAGCTCAGGACGAGGAGTTTGCAGGGTCCTTTGTGTTTAGTGGCTGACACACGGGCTTAATCATTCTCACCTTTCAGGATTTGTCGCTGTTACACTGACTTATAACTTCCAGGTCCTTTTCATTCTCCATCCTTTTCCTCATCCCATCTCATTTATAGTCCTATCTTCACTCCGTTTTGGAAATTCAGAGATTGGTGCTCCTTTCCATTTGTTTGATTTTCTTCCAGCTAGAACATCTGGTCTGTATTACAAGTAAACATAACTGAGAGCATATGTTTGCTTAGAATATGGAGGTGCAGCCTGAATATAAGAATAATCTGAGGAACATAAATAATTTAGGAGCTTTTGCTTTTCCTCTTACAGCCACAGTCAGTTGTCTTTGCCATATTTATTTTTTCTCTATAACAAGTAGAAGAAACTGCTTTCCATTCTAACTTTTTTTTTTTTTTTGCTTCTGATCCCCTTATACCTTCTCTTAAGGCCTTTATTCCATTGACCCTTTTTTCTTCTTTCTGAGTTGTTCTTTCATAAATGACTACCCTCAATTACCTTCCATTAAAAAATTCCATGCATATATTCCCTAAAGATACACTGTATCTTTGCATATCTTTTGGTCCACTCACATTTGCCACACAGTAAAAAAAAAAAAAAAAAAAAAAAAAAAAAAAAAACAAAAAAACAAAAACAAAAACTA